ATAAAAAAGTATCATCACTATCTTTAAAAAAGTTCATAAAGATAGATAAGCAATTATATTATGCAGATGTGGAAATTAAAGCACAGAAAAGTTGAAAAACTCAGCCAAAGTCTAATGTGGAATCTCTGGCAGAAGTGAAAATCAAAACAAGACAATGCTGATTTCAAGCAATTGCATCATCTTTGTAGACTGAAGCTAGCATTTTAGTGATTTCACATTTTGACTAATTTTCCACTTATTTACAAATAGCAAGAGTATCTACTAGCAACATGCAAAAATGACACTGTATAAGAGTATGAGTATCGCTTATGTTGGGTGGGTGTCCAGTGAGAAGGAACCATATCTCTTACTTATCAGTTCTGAAGGAATAAAAGAGGGCCAGTGGAATGTGGAAAAGAACATTAGATATCTCCAGGAAGAGAAGTCTTAGAAAATATTTCAGTTGTGGTTGACTCTGTTCTCAGCATTTTACTCCATCAACTCCTTGCTTTTTTTTTTTTCTTTTTTTTTTTTTTCATCATTTAAGGTGAGAGAACCATGCAAGAGATAGGAGAAACTTCTGCTGCCTGTTTTTGCCCATGAAAGGAAAAACAGAAAAAGAAGAGCAGCTGAAACAAAAGGTAGATTTCACTCTTTTTAACCTTTTGCATTTAGCATTTGAATATTTGAACACCCTGTGGCATTTCAGCCTGGTTTAAGCATGGAAGAAATTTTCCACTAGTCAGGGAAATGTTTTTGGTCTCTCTTGAAAATACTTGTAGGTGAGTCTTAGGTGGGTCATATGTGATACATTTATTTATTTATTTTTATTTCTTTCTAAGGCTATTTGGTAGTAAAGTTAAGGAATTGCAGAAGCAGAACCTACTGTACCGGCCTTGGCAGTCATTTGTTTTGGGGATCACATTAAAAAACACTGAAGATATTTGAAGTGTGAGTTATCTCCCACAGTGTTTGGTATATAAGAAAATATCTAGGTTTCAAGCAAACAGATCCAAAAGCAGTACAGCTGTGTCTTTTTTATTTATTTGTTTATTTTTTGGGGGGAGGGGAAAGCATAGGAGGTTTAATATTAGTTATAGTTTTATAACTATAATTTTATAACTAATATTAAATCAATATTAAATTAATCTCAGTTAGTATAGCTGAGAAGACAGTGACAGACTTTTGTACATGTGATTTCTTCATCAGGTTATCTGTGTATAGAAATAATAGGTGTGTTGGGCCAGTCTCCTAAAGAAAACATCAGTAGTAACTACACACACTTTTAAAAAAATTGAAAATTTGTATGTTAATGGTGGGCAAAACTTGCAAAAAAAAAACCTTCCAAACCTGTTTTGTTCACTTTACTCATACGTGAAAATTTCCTAAATGAATTTAGTCATTAAAAAAGGAAGGAAATAATACGTTAAGTTGTCAATTTTAGAACATATTTTAGAAAAAAAAAAATAAAAAGGATAAAGCAAATAGATTTTGCAGTGAAATGAATCTGCATGAAAATATGAGATCTGATTTAATTCAAATATGTGCCAGATCTTGTCACCATACTGGCCATGTGGTCTTTTTATTTCAAAATCAACATGCTGTAAATTCATAAGTTAGCTAGGTGTGTTTTAGGGAAAACATAGGAATTTAATTTCGGAGAGAAAAGGGTAGGGAAAAGATAAGTAGCTTATGAAAAATTAGTTATATACTATTGTATGTTGTTTATAATTCCTTCTCTTTTCATCTAAATTGCCCCTTGCAATTAATAGTTACTATTTTGAGTTCTTTGTGAGATTTAGAACAGTGGGTATTAATTTGCTGTCATTTCAGTTTCCTGGGAGAAGCAGCGTATAATTTGAGTATGTTTATGATTTGTTTCCTTATTATCTTAGAGAAGGTTTATAGCATGACTTTATCCTTAGACAGAAACAAATACCATGTAGTAGTATTCACTCAGAACATATTTAAAGAACTAGTCGTACTCTTTTAACTTCAATTCATTACAGGACAATGTACAGGGAAGCATTGCTGCTTAATGTAGAAAACAAGAACAACAACAAAAAAACAGTTTCATGTAACCCTTGGTATAGTATTTCCTAGTGTTTTTGAAACAGTGTTACAGATGAATGCTTTTACTGGTAAAAGGGAAAAAGTTAATGGCTAGGCTGCTTTTGATTACAACATGGGTGAAGAACACAGATGGTGAGACTATTTTTCTAAAAGCTTGATTCTTAATAAAGATTTTACTTTTCAATTAGTTAAAAACAAAACAAAACGAAACAAAAAAATTTCTTATCCTGGCTTTTTACTAGTGTCATAAAAATACTGATTCTTCCAAGTCAAAACAGTCATTACCTTTAGAAAGACGAAATGATCAATTGATTTCAATAATATAGAACAAATTTTTTACTTTTGTGTCATTGGTGATACCTCAGTATTACCTCAAAATACGAATTCAGTCTTTACTGAAGCTTTACTGAAGTCTGCACAGACTGAATGTTGTTCTTATCAACATTCAATCTATTCATCAAAATCAATCAAAATTCAATCTAAATTCAATCTATTATCAAAATCAATCTTTTTTTTTATATATATATATATATTAAAATAATTGAGAAAAGAACGATTTGGCAAGACCCTGTGTTCTAATTTTCAGACACTTTTAGCATTTTCAAAGTGTACTGAAGTGCACTGGACACTGAGATATCAAATCAAATCAAACAAATCAAATAATTAAAGGGTATACATGTTATGATGCAAGTAATAAAGTTCATTTAATATAGTTAAATCCCATTCTCTTATTTGTGTAAGTGTGCCCCCCAAAATCCTGAAACAATTAGAAAAGTCATCTTTCCTTTCCTAGAAGAGATAATAAATATGAACAGAGAAGCATAAATTCTTTATACTAGTGGTCATTGTGTTACTGCAAGTGATAATATCTGGATGTTGCTGTGTACTTGTATAATACTTACTTTTCTTGGGTTATGTTCCTTAAAATATTTTATACTGCGACCGTGCAGCTGAAAGATATTTAAAACTTGGAAACAAGGACTGTTCATGATCTGTGTTCATTGTGATGAATTCTTGCTGTATTTGGAATCTAATTGTACAAATACTCCTCTATTGAGAAAAACATACATTAGAACTTGGTTTGTACTATTCAAATTAGGTGGCCATTTTCTTTCTCTTTTTAAATATTGGTCTTAAGGCATCGGAAGCTTTCTGGATCAAATCTGTATTAACAAGGTTCTAAAGCTTCTAAGAGAATATTTTGATTTTATCCTTTGGCTTGATTCTTTAGTTCAGATTGATTGTGTATTTGGCACACTGGGTTTTTAGTACAAGGTTAAGTATTTTGTACATTTTGGAGTGTCAATAAATGTGTAATAGGAAGAAGTTAATTTTTTTTTTTCCCTTAATATTTACAGTATTAACTTTTTGAGTTATAATATACTTATAATATACTTATATATGTACCTTGTATTCTATTCTACAACAAATTAAAGTCAAAGATATTTCCAGTGCCTGCCAAAAAACATTTTAAACTTTAGGTTTAGTACTTCATCCCACCATCAAATTTTATGAACAGAAGATTTAATTTGAAATTAATTACATATAATTTTTTCATGTTAAAATGAGCTCTAAGGTTTGAATTTAAGTAGGGATATCTAGTATTTTGTGGGAGTTAAAATGTTTCTGTTTTTGTTTCTTATACCTCAGCATTTCCAGTAGATTTTTGTTTCATTGTATTTATTGAATGCTCTCATATACTGATAGACAATCCCTAAATATGGCTTCACCTGTACAATATCTCTCTTCACTTATCTGAGAGTATGTAGTCTGATCTACACTAAACTGAACCTTAAAGTACATACTGAAGAATAAGTTTGGATTAAAGTTCTAATTTTTTCCCCCTGTCTTCACCAAATTACAGGAAGTACCTCAGTCATTCCAAACCAGTTATTCTTAGCTTTGTTCTTAAATATTAGTTGTTGTCCAGATTCCACGAGTTACGCATTGCTTTTATCATGGCTCAGCGGAAGGCCTGTTAAAAACATGGGTGAGAATCTGTGGCAAAAATCTAGGCCTACCTTTCCAGGTTTGCCTAACCAAAGAGAAACGTTCATATGAAAGTACCTTATATTCAGTTCTCCATGTCAAAATTGTTCTGCTCAGCTTACCTCCTTCCAGAAGCTGCTTGTGTTAAAATTAGGCCACTTTAATGCTTTAACTTTTAGTGTCTGATATTAAAACTTTATTGCTTGAGGCAAGCTGCTTGTTAGCATGGCATAGTGTTACGTTTGTGTACTGATGGCATCAGATTTATTTTATCTCCCAGTGTGTTCAAGCATTTGCAAATTCGTATCTTTTATACGAGTCCCTAAGACCTTTGTCATTTTTATCTCAGTAAATGCAGTTAAAATCGAACAGTTTTGAGTTATGATGAACATTTTTCACGTATAAGTGGTTAGCTGTCGGAAATCCAGACTTCACGTGTAGTCTGAGCAACCAAGTAGCCAAAAATGCTACTAGCGTGATGAAATAGGACCTGGAATCCTGATTTATACTTTTACATAAAAAACAGGAAAAAAAAATGCTGGAAAAGCCAAAATATACATGGCTTCGTTTGCTTCATTTTATATATTTCCTTTCCTGTAAGTGACCATCCGTGTCGAGGGGAGGGGGCCGTGGTTTATAGGGAGGGGGGGCGTGGTGGTGGTTTATGGGGGGGGGGGGGGGGGGGGGGGGGGGGGGGGGGGGGGGCTTGAGGGAGGAGGCGTGGCTTAAGGGAGGGGGCGTGGCTTGAGGGAGGGGCGTGGCTTGAGGGAGGGGCGTGGCTTGAGGGAGGGGGCGTGTCGCGCCGCGCCGCGCGCCGGGGATTCCCCCCACCGCCCCGCGCGCGGAACCTTCGGGATCGTTCCCGTGACGTCACGGCAGGGGGGCTCCCCCTGGGCGGCGGGGCGGGGCCTTCCCTCCCCCCCTCCCCCCCTTTCCCCCTCCTCCCCCCAACCACGGGCGGGAAGCCCCTCCCCTCCCCGCCCCTCCCCTCCCTGCCCCTCCCGGGCGCGGCGGAGCTCTCGCGAGACCCTGCGCGCGCGGCGCTGTCGCGGCTGGGAGCGGCGCCATTTTGGGAGCGAGGCGGGCGGTGTGCGTGTGTGCGCGCCCGAGTGTGAGTGCGCGTGCACGCGCCTGAGGGAGCGAGTGAGGGAGTGAGGGAGGGAGTGAGTGTGCACGGGGGGGGGGGGAGGTGTGCGCGCCCCCGCGGTGGCGGCCGGGCCCCCGCGGCTCAGGGGCGGAGGGCAGGGGGGGTCCGGAGGAGGATGAGGAGGGTGAGGAGGAGGCGCCAACGCCGCCTCACGGCCTGCAAAGGCGCCGCGGAGCGGGTTTGTTTGGGCTCCTGCCCCCCTCAGGGACAGCAGGCGGTCTGTGACCGGCCTCATCCCGCAGGGCTCGGCAGCCCCTCGCTGTCAGCGCTGCCCCGGCTGGCTGCAGGCGTGCTCGCTTCACAGCGCTCGGCTCCAGCTCTCCGCCTCACGCCGGCTCTGATTCTCTTTTTCCCCCCCACAGGCAACCCGGATCGCAGCGAGAGCCCGGGATCTTCGCAGCCCTTCTGCTGGTAGGGGGGAAGAAGGGTGGAAGGCGACCTTCCCGTGAAAGCGGAGAGACGCCGGACGCCGCTCAGGGATTATTTGTCCAAGTGCTTCCTCCTGCACGGGCTTCTGAAGCCATCAGTAGGCAGCTGGGAAAGTGAATCGGAAATTCGAAGTCGTGAGCTTTCTAGAAGTGCACAGCACCTCGCCCTCGGACGCTTTTGTCCTCACGGCATGGATACGCGGCAGAATTCGTCGAGTTTGGAATGCTTCAGCTGTCAAATAAAGTGCTTTTAGGTTTTTAGTTACCTTTTTTCTTCCAAGCAACGTTCTGTCTGAGTCACAGGCGTAACTGGTTTTGTGGACTGGCTCCAGGTTAAATGTAGCCTGAGTCACTGTGTAGACGTTACTGAAAAGTTTCATGGCATATATTTTTACCCTTATTTTATTTTTCAGGTTTTCTGACGTAGCCTTTTGTCATTTTACATTGAGACATATTTTCTAAATGAAGAGTCTAACAGAAGTTTGTTTATCATTTTTTCTTTTATATTTTATTTAATATTTTTGTTGGAAAATGTTGTTGCCAATAAGCAATATGGCGGTATCCAGATAGCTGTTGTTTACAAATGCCTCTGCTACCTGAAGCTAGGAAATGCTCCTCAGCTCAGATGTGAAATTCGGATTTTCAGCTTTACAGTTGGTGGCATAAACAGTGTATTTATTTCACCTGGAGCTGATGATTTCAATATCGATATGTACATGGAATAGACAAGAGAAGAATCCTTCAGAGAAAAAACAAGACTTTTAAGTCAGAGACTTGGAAAATTTTGGAAATAGCCTTGCAGAATCTGTAAGTAAGAAGGATGGGTAGCTGATTCCTGTGAGGTCAAATCTATGTCAAACAGCTACGAATGTAATATCAACAAGAACTTGGGATATTATCTCAAGGAAGACAAACTGGAAAAATACAAATCACGCAGTGCTAACACCTTGTGCAGTCCTCTTGGATTAGGTAAGTATCGAAGTGTGTTCGTAAGTCAATTTACACCTGAACATTTTGTCAGTAGAATGTTTAAATTATTTTTTTTTTTTAGTGTTGAAATGAGCTTGCAGAATCTAACTTTTTTGTTAAATTAAAAACAACTAATTTGTTGCTTTAAATAATAAATAATATATCTGCAATGATTTGAAGAATACATGCAGTTCTACAAAGAGCAATTTCTAAGCAGGAGTGTGGTTTTTCTGGGAGACGTAAAAAAAACAACCCTCTTCCTCCCCGCCCCCCCCCCCCCCCCCCCCCCCCCCCCCAAAAGAAAAAAACACCCAACATATCTGTAGACTGAATCCATAAGTAACTTACCCCTTGCTTTAATGTTGTAAACTCAACAATGAGCTGTTATGCTTCTTGAACAAGACTGCTGGATGGTTTGTCTTTCCATTTTTTGTTAGGCGTGTTTGCAGCATGAGGGTTCTGAGAGTGTAGCCTTGCTCTTTTGTTTCTTTCCACTTTCTTTGTCATGTAAGGAAGTCAGTTACTTACTACCAAAAGTCAATCTACTGCCTATGCAAACTGGTGTTTTAATGCGTCGATATTTTAAAGTTGTGTTCAGAGTAATTACATGTTCTATAGTGGGAATGAGACTGGTTTGAAACTATATTGCAATAAGAAATGTGCTAGGGAAAAGTTCAAATCCAAAATATGTTGGCCAGCTAACCGATTTTACATGTCATTTTTGGATGCATTGCTGCCTTCTTCCCTTGTAGTAGGTAAATGTTTCTCAATGCAGATGAAGCTTAAATCTGGAAATTAAAATATGTTTACAATATTTTCTTTGCAGGTGTACTTTCAGCTGAATTGCTACTGCCTCAAAGAAAATCAAGATGGACAGAACAACTTAATTCAAAAGTCAGTGGTAATTTTACTATATGCAATCCTCTCCCCTCCCTTGGGTTACTCATAAAGCTTTAAATAATTAAAACATTATTGGGCAGATTATAAACAGAGTGTGTGGTAAGGGGGATACATTTACCATGGCCACCACCTTTTCAAAATTTTTTCAAAGCTTCTGCAATATTGAAATGTTAGTAACACGGAGCTGATAAGGAAAACTGGTCACTGTAACAGCATTGCCAAGATATTTGGGAAAAAGCCTGGTAAAAAGTAATTTTGAGCTTTGGGAAACTGTATCTCAGAATTGCTACAGTGCATTTTTTCCCTTGTAACTTTCTATTGAAAGTTACAAATGGAAGACTGTCATCTAAATAAGTATTTTTTACAGGACTTCTCATGATCACTGAAATAGTTCTACTCTGTGTGTTGTCAGTTATCTAAAGGTTGATCTAGCTTCATTATTTTGCTGTCTGTGAATGGCCTTGCTGTTTTGTTATTTTAACTTCTATTTCAGTTTTGCTGTTACGAAAACATGGAAACTGTAGATGATGAATAGGAGTCTTTCTGTAATCTCCTGTGGCTGTGGCTTGGGGCTTTTCTGCTTAGTGTGGCTGGGGACTGAGTGAATGAACTGAACCACATCTAAAGGAACCAGAGCAACACAAAAGAGTTATCTTCATTCTTTTAGGTCGAGTAGTCTGTATTTTGCTTGAAAACCGTTTGGTGAATGGAAAGAATTCATGCATAAGTGGCCATTTCATTAAATTTTGTCTGTTACGTGCCCACAAATGTAGTAATACAAGAACTTTTTCTTAAATAATAGAAAAAGAGATGCTTATGTTATTTTTCAAGCTGTTTACTTTCAGTGAGAAACTTACCTCTTGCTGGGGAGCTCTCACTGAAATTGAGGAGCTGCATCCCCCCACCTACTCTTGGAATCACATCTTTATCTCTACTCCCTCTTCTGGATGTTTTTAAAAAAAAAATTTCCTTCCAGCTTTATTAAATTAGCTCTTTCTTACATCTTTCTTGCTGCTGGTATTTTTTTTTTTTCCTTTTCAAAATATTTGCACTTGGTAAGTGCAGTTGCCTGTCTGATTTGTGTGCACATGTATTTGGTGTAGATTTGTGTGTGTGTGCTTTATGGCTATGCCCTTGTATCCTGAGCAGAATTGATAGCTGAGTGAGGCACACTGAGAATAAAATGCCTAGTGTGTTGGTCCACATGTATACCTTCTTTGGGCTTTTATTTCTATAGTGCTGACAGTCTGGTAAGTGGTTTGCAGACAAGTATGAAGATAAGGTCCTTGCCCCAGAGAGCTTATACGTTAAGCGTTGATGTAAACATAGCTTTTGTACTGGAATAACTGTCAGCAGCATGGTTCTTCCATGGTTAAATTTCTTCTGGTGGAATCCTAAAATGGGTAGTTTGTGTTTAAAAAATGGTTGTGGATGGAGTAGGTTGCTCTGTGTAGGAAAACAAAAAATAACCCAAAAACCTACTAGTGGAAGCTTTTCAGTGTAAGCAGAGTTTAAACTTGCAGCAACGCTGAAGTCAGTTAAACATGTAAAATAATATAGGGAAATTTTGCAGATACTTAGCTTTCTTAGTACTTCACAAGGTAATGTACTTTAGGTTCATTTTTGCCTCCCTTCTAGTGCATTTCCTCTGTTTAAAATGTGTGGATAATGCAGTTTGACAGTGATACTTCATTGAGGACTTCTGGGGAAGTTGCTTATATTTCTTTTAGCGCTGGGAGTAAAATTTCTTCTGCAAGGAGAGCTACATGCAGAACTGATTAAAGACAAACTTGAATGAGACTTGGCACACTTTCTGTTTTGGTTTTTGTAACTGTTTTTGAGCAGAAGTGTTACACAGTGACTAAAGACAATGCTGTGTATTGTGCTACCAACTCTTCCCTGATCACTTTTTTTTTTTTTTTTTTTTGAGGTAAGCATACTCTGCAAAAGAACTGAAATACATAGATTTCTTTTTTCTGCTTTATATGCTAGGGATATTTCAAAACTGCCATCTTTTCTAACAGCTTCTTCAGATTGCTCATGAAGACTCCAAAGTGTGAAAACATTCCCAGTGATTTTGTTATAGTGTATACTAAGGGCATAAGTGTATACTGAAGGGCAACTTTACTGCAGTGACACTTCAGCTTTTGGACTTTGAACCTTGCAGAGGGCAAGAAGGTCAACGTCTATCTAGAGTTCCACTAAATGATACTGCAGGTGTAGGATTTCAAGCAGAAAGAACCTTGTAGTTTACCTTCAAATAAGCAGTTATTCTATGCTTCAAAATAATTTTTTTTTGTTTGTTTGTTTTTAGATTTAGGTTTTGGTACAGTCTGAGAAGGAAAAGCCTTTTTTTTTTTTTTTTTTTTTTTTGATTAGAAGTAGTGATCAAGACATTATAACCTTTCTTCTAACCTTTTCTTCTAAACTTTCTTCTTAACTTTGTCTCTTTCTAAAATATCTCCTAAAAAATATTTTGAATCCTGGGACGCTAATACTTCATTCACAGGAGCGGCCTAAGCCCTGTTACTCATAAACCATATCTACGTAGAGAAGGAAGACAATACAGAGCAGTAGTTGGGATTTTCAGAACATCTGCTGGTTGCTGTCTACTAACATTTCTAGGTCCTTATGCCAAACAAGAGCAGTAAGCACTCTTCTCTTGAGTCATTCTCACATAAGGAACTTGAGCCCTAAGTCGACATGAAGATACGTTTTTCTTGTTTTGTTTGTTTTTGCTAAGTCACTGTCATGTTAGGTCTTAGGGGGCTGTATTTTTACAAGAGAATGTGTTAGCTTACATGATGAAAAAAATTGTCTGATACAGTTTGACGCCATACAATTCTAATACCCTGGTGTGTCCTAAGACTTCTGGAGGTGTTTAAGTGTGACAGAGGATTTCATCCTATTCCCAACGCAGCAAACCTTGCTTACCCTGTTTTGTCTGTGTCTATACATCTGCATGGAGAGAAAATGGGGGAAAATAAATAATGTTTTGTTCAAATAGTTGTGCTGCTGGTTGGGTTAAACCACAGCAGATAGTACAAACGTTATTTTAATTCCATCACTGAAAATAGTGTGCCTCCCTCTCCCCTCTTCCTGTTGATGATCAGTCTCTTCTAAGATGTCATGCAGACTTGCTTATTAAGCCCCTGTGAAACTCATATACACTTGATTTTGCCTTCTTCACTTAGTAAGAAAGATTTAATATACTTGGTGTAGATCATTACCAAGGAAGCAAGGCAGCAGCAGCAGCAACAAACCTGAGGCAGTGAATAACACTTTTTTTTACACTGTCATAATGACACTGTAGTACACTTTAGTGCTGGTGGCTTACAACCTTCTTCTACCCCATTTATAAATATATTAAAATTATTATGACAAGATGAGAGTGGATTGTAAAATAAATTTATAGCAGAAGGGTGGAGTTAACGTTCCCACACATGGTTTGTGGTATGCTCTACTTAAGGTAATAATAATTTGTGAGGCAGGAGGTAAAAGATCATAGGGCACGTGCTACTTAGATATGTGTACCTGTTAATTTTAAGTTTTTCTGAAAACTATATATGTGTATATACATACACACACTTAAGATTTATTCTATTTGTGGATTTCTCTATGCAAATCAGCAGACTGAAATTCTAAACTGGTCTTCAGGGAGCATCAAGGAACTTGAACTTGTTTCTTTCTTTATAATCTAACTTAGGAAATTCATGGCTGAATTTTTTGTTGTTGTTGTTACTGGCTTTATTATTCCTCTCACAAGCTTGAACCATTTTTACTTATTTGAGTTTATAATTTCATTTTGTTATAATCTTCTAGCAATCTCTGCAATACGCTGTGTCATAGAAACTGTTTTAGGTAAAGTAATTTTTGCTATCCTTGTAGCATGAGAAGTATAGAAGCTGAGAATACTTAACTGTTTTCTCCTTGCATCTAGTTTCTGGTGAGATGGTTTCATCTGTCAGTTTTTTTCCTAGTTTTTAGCTTTATTGTAACAAATTCTTTTCCTATAAAGTTTTAGATGGCTCTATTTCAGTAGGCCGCATTTATGCTGTTAACCACCAAGGATTTATCGTATTAAAATCTTCCAGTAAGTCAAATTTTTAGGTTCTGGGGTTTGAGCAATTTTGCTGTCATTCTGAACAGCTTTTTTCTTACTGTAGTGACACCACTGGTTTTATCTGTCTCTTCCTGCTAGGACATGATGAAAAAGCAAAGCTGGTTTTATTGGTTCTGGTAGTTGAGACAGTGTTGTTATGGGCGCAAATGTTTCACATATTGACTGGAAAGACCTCCCTCAAGCTGGACCTCCGCAGCACCAGTGGGACTGTCTTTCCTCTGCCTGCTAAGTACTGGTTAGACAAGTTAAACAACATGCTCTTATGGGGCATGGGTGGGGACAGTCTCTGATCTCATGTCCTTGTCATTTTAAAGTTCTGCTGTGCTTTTTTCTCCGCCCTCAGTAGAGGAGGATTGGGTTAGGGAACATTTTAACAAGATTCACTGAAATGCTTGGGGCCTGAATAGGTGCACCTGCAAGTGCTGAGAGAGCTGGCAGATGTCATTACAAGGCCCTTCAGTGATCTTTGAAAAGTCATTGTGATCATGAGAGATCCTGGAAGAGATCAAATGTTAATTTCTCTCATCAGAAAGAGGATCCAGGGAGCCAGTAATACTTAACATTACTAATGATATGGGTGATGAGGCAGAGTTTATCCTCAGCAAATTTGCAGATGATATAAAACTGGGAGGAGTGGCTGTTGCGCTAGGTGTTTGGGCAAGCTGGAGAATTGGAGAGAGAGAGAGAGAGAGGATCCTGGTGAAGTACAGCAAATGGAAAATGCAAAGTGCTGCATGTGGGGAGGAGTAACCATGCACGCTGGTATGTGCTGGGGAGTTGGTAAATTTTGTAGAGAAGGATGTGTGGACAGTGGTGCACAGCAAGCTGACCCATCAGTGGGTCCTTGCAACAGCAAAGGCCAACAGCGTGC